TATTGTCTTCCCCTATAATAAAAGGTCTCTCACACAGACACTTCAACACTTAGAGAACCTGAAATTTCAGTACTCTAAGAAAAATGCATATTATGAAATCTCATGATTCATGCAAGGTGAGGACAAAATGGTGTAAAAAAAAAAAAAAAATTGTCCGCCCCTGACTAGACTAGGGGCCTGTTTGGTACGAATTCTCATTTTCTACAGTAAATCAATTCTCATTTTCAACCACACATTTTTCAAAAATAATATTTTCCATCACATCAATAATTTTTTCTTCTTTTTCAACCACACATTTCCCATCATATCACTATTCAAAATCAATTCTGCCCCCAAAAAATGTCTACCAAACAAGCTCCTAGATAGAGAAATTAAAAGGGTTGGATGATCTTGTTGAAGACGGAATGTAAAAGATGAATATGATGTTCATGCTGGGGTGATGACGTCAATCTTGGCGGATAAATTCCAAACCAAACCCATACCGTACACTGTATTCTTATTTGTAAGTCGGCCTTCTTTCATTCTTATCCTCCTTGCAAAGAAGCATGATTCACATTAAATAAATTTAAAAAAAAAACAGATATTCACAGCAAGGGAGAGCGGTGGTGGGATTTTTTTCCAATATTTTACTCACACGGGGGTGAGTAATCTGCTGGTTTTTTTGGCAAATCCGTTTCTTTATTCAGGAGTTGTTTGATTAGACTTTCGATAGAAGTTTTACGAGATTTTGATAAAAATTTATATTATGTGGTTAAAAAAGGAGTAAAAGTTCAAAGAGCAAAAATTTATCAAAGAAGCACTAGTTTTTTATTAATCCACAGTTTTCGCACAATCAATAATTATGTCTTTCACCACTCTTAAGTAACAGTAGGTCTAGACTAATGATCATCATCTCTAATAATATAAAGTAATGATATTTATAGTTAGTAGAAATAATTATCGATTCGAATTAATCTACTTGTACAATAATTGTTAACAATGTTTAGTGTGACAAAATCAAGACAGTTGATTTAAAAAACAGTTTTTGAAATATTTTGAAATAAATGAATGTGATGGTGTCAAATTATGATTGTCAACAAACCGTGGTAACCATCATTGTACGTGTAGCATGATTGCATCGATTTAAGTTATAGTGAACCTCTTAATTCATCGTTTTATGTATATTAATATGTATTATAACTTCATTTGATAATGAATCAAAGATTTGCTGACCCTCATAATAATCTCTAAGGGTCCGTTTGAATGTAAATGTGGAAAATGGGTGGAAAGAAAATGAATTTCAGGGAAAGTAAGGGCATGTTCTCTTTGTCGTTTTCAGGCCGTTTTCTGTTTTCGATTTTCCAAAATACTGAAAACGCGTTCTCTTTTCCATTTTCGAAAACCCGTTTTTGAAAACACAAAA